GTTCACCAACTTTTTAAACGAATGCAATTTAGTCCATTTTGATATTATCCTCATCTTTACATTTATTAATTGTTTCAATTTAACCCCTGCATGTTGTTTAATTTACTTAAATTTCAATTTTTAATTTCATGTTTGCTCAATTTAATCCTTGAAATTTTATTTTTATTTGAAATTACCCTATAATTATTTCTATTTTTTTTTTTTTTGTAATTTACATTGACCATATAAATCATATCATAAATTTCATTTTAAACCCTATAAATTGTACCATAATCTCCAAACCCTATAAACTTTTGTTCACCAACTTTGTAAATGAATGCAATTTAGTCCATTTTTATATTAATTTTAAGTTTATATTTTACAATTTTTTAATTTAATCCCTACTGTTGTTTAATTTATTTTTCAATTTAGTCTTTAAAATTATATTTTTATCTTAAATTGGCCCATAATTATTTTTATCTTTTGTAATTCACTTCAATCCATATACATTAGACGTTCATGAAAGGTGGAAAATAATACACCCTAAAATGACTCGACCTGAAGTCCCCATTTGTACCTAGTCAGGCCCGACTTGAAGTTCACCTGAAACCAATATTACCCGACCTAAATTTTATCCTCCAATGATGTGACTTGATCTGAACAGGACTCGACTCAAAGTCCATTTGAACCTAAATTAAAATTATATTTAACTGATTCAGACCCAGACTCTTTTGATATGAACTGATATTGATCTGACCTGAAATTAACTCGACCAGAACTCTAATTGAATCTGATTTAAAATCAACCTAAAAATAACTCAAACCCGAGTAAACCCATACCCAACTTGATCTGAGTCCAACAATTGAATTGACCTGACATAACATATCTAATTTAATCTAACCTAACATAATCCAAACTGACACATAAATGATTACCTAATTTCACAACCTAACTATTAGGTTCCAAAGTATATTCATTTCGGGATGTATCAGCCAAATCAGTGGCCCCAAGTATTTGGATGTTATCTGTGAAATAGATTTGACGCTGCTCTTAGGGACCAAAACATATGAACCCATTAGCCAATATTACTTGGAGAACAGGTCCTGGAAGAATCAAATCGAGTATAATTAATACTACTTGGGGTCCAAGTAAACCACATATAATACATCACATGGCCATGGCCTACTAAAGTAAGAAACAAACAAACTAACAGCAATGGAAATAAAACAATTATGCACATTCAACTTTACAAATTTAGAAAGCACGTGCCGTGGAATTTAATAGAGCAATCAATTATGTCACAAAGATATTGATGTAGCTATATAGAAATATACGCAAAATTTTGTGTTAGAAACGAACTTATAAAATTATGTTAGAGACGAAGTTATACAATTTTAAGGGTTTATAAAATTTTAGAAGATGAAAACATATTGTCAAATATAAAAAAATACTTAAATTATATGGGAATTTAAAATTTTCAAGAGAACAATTGTCCCGTCAATCCCTCCTCAATCCATCCCTTCATATAAATCATTGTATCCATATATAATGTAGAAAAATAACATAATGACAGAAGCATGCATGTTCTCAAAGCACTAGTGGGAAGTTGGGGCAAACCATAATCATAGAACAATTGGTTTACATTGTAAAATACATATTGATAGAACAATTCCTCAACACTTTTCATGAGATTGTTGGATGATATCTTGGATTAGTGATGTAATATTAAGGTAAGAAGAACCCCCCACTTCAATTGCTTTTTTGCTTTCTCTCCAAACTTCTCAGCTATTTTCCTTCTCTCTATTCCTTCATCTCCTTCATCCATCAATTTCTCTATTTCGTTTTTAACATGTTCCTTCTTCAGCAAGAAACCAGATTTCTCATCACCAATGTTCGTAGGTTTGTCGATTCCAAGGCTCACTCCGATTTTCAGTATTTGTACTGCAAGTTTCTCGTTACTAAACTGGTCTGCAAATAGAGGCAATGTTATCAAGGGGACGCCTCCTGAAATGCCTTCGATTGTCGAATTCCATCCACAATGCGTTAGGAAGCCTCCTATTGCCCGGTGTGACAGAATGAGTACTTGGGGAGCCCATCCCTTAACTACAAGTCCTCTTCCTTTCGTTCTTTCCTCGAATCCATCTTCTGCCATCCACTTCTCGACTTCGTTCGATGTCGTGTTATTTCCTCTTAGCACCCACATGAAGGGCTTCTTCGATGCCTCTAAGCCTAAACCCAACTCTATCAGCTCTGGACACTTTACAGTGCTGATGCTTCCAAGGCAAGCATAGATAACAGATTTGGCTCCTTTAGAATCAAGCCACTTTAAACACTGCTGCTCAATGATCGAAGCCTTGTTACCTCTCTCAGCCTTATCCGACTCGTCCTTGTGGCTAAGAGAAACTGGACCTATACACCAAGCTTTCGTTACCTTCCTATACTCCTCTACGAAAGCCGGCTCCAACTCCTCGAAAGTGTTTATGACAACCCCATATGTTGCTTGCCTAGCTTCTACGAACGATCCAACTATTTCCTTCCAGGATTCCTCCCTCATAAGAAGTAACTGTGCTTTGGTGAATTCGACTTTTTCTGTCAAGCCTGGCACCGTGAAGTATTCGGAATCAGAGGCTACGGTCTCAAGTATCTTGGAGGAATGTATATTGTGCAAACAAAGGGCAAAGAAGCAACAAGACCCATTGAACGATATCCTTGGAAGCTTAAACCTGGTAGCAATTTTGTGAGTATAATGGAGGCACGCGTCTGAAATAATGCAATTGGAGCGTGGCGTTAGCTTCTCAAACAACTTCTCCACTTCATCTTCCATCTTGTTTGCTGCAACGAAGAATTTGCGGAAGTCCTCCGATGAGTGCACCATGTCTACATTCTCGACCCCATCCGGCAATCCGACTTCATTTCCGGGAAACCGGAGCTGCACTAAACGGATAGGATGCCCCAATTCGATAGCTCGAGCGATCGATCTCTGGACTCTGTCTGCATTATGAGGCGTTGTAACTATAGTAACAATAACGCCACGGTGTGCCAAGAGTTTACCAATATCTACCATGGGTAGCAAGTGGCCTTGAGCCATGAAAGGGAACAACACAAAGTGAGGCTTCTCGGATATGGAACCCATTGAAATGAAGAGTAAAAGGAAGACGAAACTGAATCTGTAATTAAGGGGTGCAGAGATCTGTTATAATAGCGAAATGTGAAGTTCAATTCAGACTGGTATTATTGAAATGGCTGATGCAAGAGCATACATAAGCATATTGGTTTATTCGGCAAAAAGATGAGGTTGTGATGAAAAACTAGAATTCTGTGGACTGCTGGATTTGATATTTGAACCCTTTTTGTCTGTTCCAAGTAAACTCCATTTTAGAACATACAATACAATTAACTCTCATATTTAAGATATATTTATATTATATAATAATAATTGAATTAAATTTATACTTCGTTATATTTTATTATTTTTAATTGAAACTTTTTGAAATAATAAAGTATAGAATAAAAATAATTAATAAATGATAAAATTATTTTAGTTAAAATTTAGTGAATAGTTAAATCATAGGAGGTTAGTAATTTTTTCATCCAAATTAAATCACAAATCTTGTACAACATCTTAAAATTGAGGATAAACTACATAAATACTCATTGAACTTTTAGGACACTTATATTTAGTCATCGGGCTTTTGAAACTTACAACACAATCATTAAACTTTTAATTTACTTTAAATACAGTCATTTTCTTTAACTATCGTTAAGAAATATTGGCATAACATGTTAAAGCCATCTTCTTCCAAAAGAAAAACCCCAAGTTTCTCTAACTAACTAGCAGCCACTAGCCTCTTTTTGCTTGAGCCATCAGCATCTGACATTCTTTTAATCTCTGTCACTTTTAAACACAACACTCATCATGATTCAGAGCTTCATCGTCTCTCAACGGCCGTCGAACCTTAACACCTTAAAATTTGGTTTAGAATTTTTTCAATATTCGATGTCTAGAAATTTGTTTTCAGTAATTATTATAATATTTTGAATTTTCAAAAAATGAGATTAATTTTATTGATTAAATAAGATTAAGATATGATTTGATTTGAAAGTTGTTTAAGGATTAAAATGTGATAAAAAGGAACATGATGATTAAAGTGAAAAGGAAAAACTTAGGCGCTCAAATGAAAACAAAGGGAAAAGATGAATGGTTAAGAGTTAATTAACACATGAAATGATTGTTATTAAAACGTAGAAAAGATGAATGATTGATTCTATGATTTTATCATTTTCTTTTTAGTGAATAAGTTATTAGATGTCTTATTCTTATAATTTAGTCCAAATTTTGTATTTCTTTAAATTGACTTAGATTAGTAAACCCTTTGAGGTGGGTTTTATTCCAGTTGTCGTTGGATTGAATAGACAAAGTAGCAAGTCCTTTTCGTCTTCTCCAAATTCCAAAAGTCACCGTTGTTGAAACCAAGTTTGAAACCCTAATTTTTTATTTTAGGGATTAAGTCATGTTAGTAGTCCAAACTCTAAATTAATTAGATATTTGATAAGCTCTCAAACTTAGATTTTATTCGGCGTCGTTCGTTTTTAATTTGAAGAAAGCTAATATGAAATCATAAACTTAAATTAGAGATTCAAATAGTTTAAGGGATCAAAACCCTAAATTGAGTACATCATTGGAAAGCTTATGAAATTTCCTATTGAATGATATTATTATTTTCATCATTCTCCAAGTGTAAGTGAAATCTTAAAATTTGACCATATTTAATGGTTTATATCAATTTAAGGTTTATGTTGGTGTTGACTTTGGATGATGAATACCTTGATGAATATATGTTTCTCAGTTTTCTAGAGCAAGAAAGTTCAGTGGAGTGTTGCCTTGTTTGCTGCAATGAAGAACTTGCGGAAGTCCTCGGACTAATGCACCATGTCTACAGTCTCAACCCCATCTGGAAATCCAACTTCATTGCCAGGAAACCGGAGCTGCACTAAACGTATAGGATGCCCCAATTCGAAACTCGAGCAATCGATTTCTGGACACTGTCAGCATTATGAGGTGTTGTAACTATAGTAACAATAACGCCACGTTGTGCCAACAGTGTACCAATATCTACCATGGGGAGCAAGTGGCCTTGAGCCATGAAAGGGAACAACACAAAGTGAGGCTGCTCGGAAATGGAACCCATTGAAAGGAAGACGAAACTGAATTTATAATAAAAGGATGCAGAGATCTGTTATATACAGCGATATTTGAAGTTCAATTCGGATTGGTATTATTGGAATGGCTGATGCAAGACCATACATAAGCATATTGATTTAATCGGCAAAAAGATGAGGTTGTGATGAAAAACTAGAATTCTGTGGGCTGCTGGACTTGATATTTGAACCCTTTTCTTCTGTTCCAAGTAAACTCCATTTCAGTCTTGTCTAACCAATGGCTCTGAGTGTTCCATGTAAAAAGGCATAAACACCATGGGCCAGAAACATCAAACCAATAAACAAAACATCTTAAAGGCATTATCATGTGAAGATGGTCAAACCATAAATAAGACTAAAATCGACTTAAGTCAAAACTGTTTATGATTTGAGGTGATGATGACCTAAAATCGACTTAAATCAAATCAGATAAAATACTTTTGAGGGTGGACACACATGTAACAAAACAAGAACATCTACTAAAATGGTTTATAGAGAAAAACAAATATCCATATCTGAACAGAACTTATACTAAGTCTGGGGGATTGAGTCCTCAAATTATAAAGGTCAATACTTTTTTTAATTCCTCAATCAAATAGACTGAAACACATGTCATCATCTTCTTCTTCTTCGACTTTCTCCTCGTTGGCCTCCGCGGCACCGGCCTCGTCTCCACCAACTTCAGTAGCGGTTACCGTGAGGGCAGCTCTGGAGGAAGGAATGGTTGCGAATTTCTCTCTTCCAACAGCAATAAGCTCAGTCAAATCCTTTCCCATAACTTGGGACAAAAGCAACTCAATCTTGGCATCATCAACTTCAGTTCCAACTGCCAGCCAAAGCAGCAGTACCAAGCCAATATTAATATTCAATAAATGTTTGTTTGTTTTTGCTTCCATTAAACCGTTAGATTCCAAGACAGAATTCACAAGTAAATAAATACATATCATCGATCATTCTAAAAAAATGTGGGAACGAACAAGATTAAATCTTTGATAAAGAAACAGCATTAACAATTATAGTTTCCCATCCTTCCAAAATTCAAGTAAAAAAACATAAAACACAATGCAAATAAATCAAGAAACAAAGAGAAAAATAAAGAAAGAAAGAGAACCAGAAGCAAGAATGTGGTTCAAATCCTGAGCAGAAGGGTTGGCGTTGCCTCCCAACACGGCCAACAAATATGCTGCGATCTCCTTCATTTTCTTTCTTCTTTACTCCAACCCTAATATTAATATATCAGTAAAAAGAAAGAAAAACGAAAGAAAGCTTTGTGAGTAGTGAATTTATAATGGTTTGAAGATGAATTAATCTTGCTCTCCAAGTCTCCTACTATCAGCAAAAAAAAAATTGAGCTGGGAATTTATTAGGGTTTTCGGATAAATTGGAAACGGCTAAGGAGTGGTTTGGTTAAATTCGGTAAACTTGCTCTCCACGTACTAGAAATTAGTTAGATTGACATTCATAATATTTGATGCAAAAAATATATTTTATAATAAATAAAAAGGGTAAACTACCTATTTAGCCACTCACCTATTCTTATGTTCTTGTTTTGGTCATTCAATTACTATTTTTTTAATCATACTTAACGTTAGGTTTGTTTTTGTTTTGTCCTTGGAGGTTCTGGGTTTGTGCAACTGCGTCTGCAGTGTTATGTTGTTAATTGATTAAGAAAGTTCTAAACAAATATTACCTTGTAATCATCCTAAATTATTCAAAATAATGATTTTATTGACATAAGATGTGATTAGAATATCCTAATAGTTTGAGGATGAAATTGAAATATTCAAAGGTTTAGGATAAAAGTGAAATGTTCAAAAATTTGAGAATTAATTCAGAATGAGAGTCTTAATTTGAGAACATATTATACAATTAACTCTCATATTTAAGATATGTTTATATTATATAATAGAATTTAATAATAATTGAAATAAGTTTGTACTTCGTTATATTTTTATTATTTTTAATTGAAAATTGTTGAAAAATAAAAATAATTAATAACTAATAATTATTAAATGATAAATTTATTTTTTAGTTAACATTTAATGAATAATTAAATCTTAGGAGGTTAGTAAAATTTTCATCCAAATTAAAGGAAAATTCTACAATGCTCGATGAGCACCGTTGAGCGTAATTAATTTAATTTATAAAAATTTAAAATTCTAAATAACTCAACATATAATTATAAATTAGTTAAAACTTTAAAGATAAATTATTTAAAATAAAATATTAATTACATTATTTTCCATAATTTTGTGGGTAAATTATACCACTGGCCACATAATTATTGGCCCTTTTCATTTTGATCACCATTTTTTAAATTTTGTCAAATAGGTCATCCATCTATTTAAACGCATTCAATCAAGCCAATGACTAGTAACATTTAATGAAAGCGTTGACATGACAGTTAGTAAAATTGGTATAATTACATATTTGATCATAAATATTTATAAATTCTATCAATTTCATCATAATTTTAATTCAATTTAATAATTTAATCTTCAATTAGGTGGTGACACATGTCACTACCATATTGGAGGATATTTTAATTTGAAAAAAGTTAATATGAAATCATAAACTTAAATTTAGAAATTCAAATAGTTTAAGGGCTCAAAACCCTAAATTGAGTACATCATTGGAAAGCTTATGAAATTTCCTATTGAATGATATTATTATTTTCATCATTCTGCAAGTGTAGGTGAAATCTTAAAATTTTACTATATTTAATGGTTTATATCAATTTAAGGTTTATGTTAATGTTGACTTTGGATGATGAATACCTTGATGAATATATGTTTCACAATTTTTTAGAGCAAGAAAGTTCAGTGGATTGTTGCCATTTGATTCCATGTATTGAATTTCTTGTGTTGATCATTTTTATGTAGACAAGATTGTGTGCATTGCCTATCGGCCTATTTAGAGCAAAAGGATGAAAGTCATTGTTAAAGGAAGCTTTGGTAAACTTTTACGATTAATAATTTATGATATATTTATTGTTTGCATTGTAAGTGCACTGAATTCATTGACATATTGTTGTCTGAGATGTATTCCAGACTATATTGAACTTTATGATATAATATGATACATCGAGCTAAGAGCTAAAACATTATACTATGATAATAAATTTTCATAAATGCTGACAACATTGTATGTTATTGCATTGTGGTTGTATATTGCTTATAGTTACGTATCTTATCGAGTTTCAGATACAATTGACATGCCTTATCGAGTTTCAGATACAATTGACATGTCATAGAGTTTGATAGATTAAACTTGTGTTCGGATAGAGTTTAAGGATTGACCACATTGTGTTCGTGTATAAAAAAATACCATTGGGCTAATATTGATTTTATTGTTATAGACATTTATATTTCTATCGGCTTTTCCATTGTCATTGTCATTACTATTGTTATTGTCATTACTATTGTTAAAGGATGATCATATACATTGTGATTATTTATCACTAAATCATTATCTTAGAGGTGTCATCCAATAGTATTCATGATTAAGACTACTTTATTAAGCTATGTAAGCTACATTATTTGTTTAATTGTTTCCATGGCATTGATCTCCATAATCTAGTTTAGGATTGCATCAAGTGGGTTGCAAATTATCATCGAACTTTTGTCAGTATAATGATCCTTTTGCTAAACTCCTTCTATAATGGTTACGTATATGGTTTTGTAATGTGAGATAAAATGAAATTTTGAGTTATGTTTGAATTGATTTTGTTGTTTTGCCAAAATTTTCAATTAAGTCCCTCCTAAACATTTCTAATCAATTTTCATACTTGTTATACTTCCATAACACCCCTAAATTTAGATTACAACCTTATCTCAATCAAATTCAACTTTCTCTTCAACCACCATAAATACCCACTTCATCATTTAAAAATGAAACAATGAAATCCTAAACCAATTTGTAGAGAATTAAGTGTAGAACATTTTCTTATTTCACACTTTAGTCCAAATTCTCACTAAAATGGATCAAAAATGAAAAAGAAAAACTTTGCTCACCTTAGCTATAGAGTCACGCAGAATGAAGAAGATGAGAGGAGAATTCTTGAGTTTTCCATACAAATATCTCTTAATTTATCTTAAAAAACCAATTAAAAATTCATTTTAGCCCAAAAGTCAAAATTACCCTTAATGAATCCTAATTTTTACCACAATGCCATCCTTTTATCTCCATTTTAATATCCTTAAATAAATATAAAAATATTATTTATCAATTTCCATCATCACCCTTTCAATTTTCCAAAAATTCAATATAGTCACTAAATTTTACTATTCCACTTTAACGTGGAAATTCCTCCAAATTACACTAATTCACATCAAATTATACTAATTAAAAATATCAATATAATTTTTCTAACCTCAAACTTCTTTTCTTCAAATTTTGTAAGTTTCCAATTCGATCTGATTATCCAAATATTTTACGGGACTCTATAGCTTAATAAACTTTTATACAACTTCAAATCAAAATTCTAAAACCCACTAAAATTATATTCCTGGGCTGAACTTCTCAATTACAGACTCAAAATAGAACTTTTGAAATTTTACATATTTAGTTCCTAAACTTTTTACAAATTTACACTTTAATCCCCATACTTTCGAAATTTACTTTTCAATCACCAGTCCAAAATTTGGGATATTACAATTCTCCCCCATTTTGAAAATTCATCCTCAAATTTTCAGTACTTATTTGTTTCAAACAAGTGAGGATATTGCTTTTCCATATTTTCCTCTCTTTCCCAATTAACTTCCTCGACCTTATGATTATGCCAAAGAACCTTAACTAGTGGGATTGTTTTGTTTCTTAACTCTGACTCCAAGTGCCAGAATATTTATTGATTCTTCCTTATATGACATATCTGGCTGAATCTTTATTTCCTCCAATGCAATGACATGAGAAGGGTCTAATCGATATTTTCGCAAATTCGACACATGAAAAACATTATGAATCTTGTCCAGTTTCAGAGGCAATGCTAACTGATAAACTATCAGTCTAACTCTTTTTAA